CTGTTCTAGGCAAAGACAAAGGTGAGGAAGTGAGACCTACTGGAGCTATCATAAATATCATAAATATGTTTGCTCTCTTAATCGCTCAATAACTCCAAAAGCAAAAGAGGATCAGTGAAGACACATCTCCTCCTTACAGATGTCATGTGGTTATCCAAACATATAAGCTCTACTACAGCCACAGAGCAAAACATTTATCACTAACTTCTTGTTCCTGATGCAAGGAATACAGTAGCTCCTTCACTGGTATGATAGAGGTAACTAGTAAGTGGAGATAGGTATACTTACGATACCAGTGCCTAAGACCTTGAGCAATCCAAGTCATGTCCAGCCATTTCTGCTTAGCTTTCAGAATGTATATTGTTGTTATTATTAAGAATGGCCATGTTTATCTGTCCCATGCTGTCAGTGGCCCAGCTATAGATTTATTCACACTGCTTCTATACCTCTTTTTACCAGTCATTAGAAGGGGGGTAAATGGCTGCAAATAGCCCCAATGATACTCGTAGAATGGAAGGAAACATGTAGTCAGAATTTTACAATTAAATCAACCAAAATAAATAAAATATTTCATAGATAATGAAGTGGAAACAAATGAAAGTTGGAAGCAAGAGCAGCATAAGAGAACAATGAAACAATATGTGCCTCAGATAGTCAGTTACCAGTCTAAAAACAGCAGCAGCATGCCCAGGCAAAACAAAACACACACCTGCAAGCCTCCAGTGCCATGTAATTCCATATCTTAAATAATTCACATTAAAAGCTGTTCCAAAAAAAAAAGTACTGTTCAATCATAGACATTTTTAGATCAATTTAATGCTGCTTAAATAATAGACCTGACACAAAATGGATGCCCTTTTTTGCCAAGCCTCTGACACTTTGGCGGGAAGAAAGCACCCTCTTTCAGCTGAGGTCACTGAGTATCTTCTAACGTCAAAAGAAGGCAATGAACGGTGTCTTGCAAGGCAGCACAGGATGACCAGTTGTCATAAATGTAGGTGTGTGCCTCCTACATGAACATGAACAAGCACTTTACCTGTTAATGTGAATGGTGTGGGAATTTTGATCCTTCTCAATACAAGTGGAGTTATTCTAGGTCAACTAGTCAGGAAGAAATGCAACAGAGTTCACTGTAAAAATAGCCTTTTGGATTAAGGATAAATAATGGATTCACTCATATCATTCTAAATTGATGAAATCATATTGAGTTCATTCAAATCATTCTGAACTTGTAAGCCTCACATTTAAAGTAAGCTTCCTTTCAAAACCATCCTTTAATGAACTGTTCAGTTTAATAAATGAAAGTGAAAACAATCTTCTGTTTTAACAGTCAAGGAAGGATTATTTGTGGCTATTCACAGACGTTTATTTAATAGCTATACAAAATTTTGCCCTGTCTCCCTCCATTTCAACTGCATCATCAAAAAACTCGATGCAGCTGAATTTGCAACAAATTTGCTTTCCTTGCAGCACTACTGCAGCACTCTCACCCTTTCCCTCACCTATCCAATCCCAGCAAACTAAGAACCACATAAGACTAAATCCAATGTGGTGCTGGATTTCTGTTTCTTCCCCTCTCCTCTGCAATTCTTGTAGTTTTTTAGCCCTCCAGAGCAGTTTTTTGGTGAGCAAGGGTGGCAGTTGTGAGAAAGGGAGAGCATCTCCCTTCTGTATTCACGAAGGCTTTCATGGCCGGGATCTAATGGTTGTTGTGGGTTTTTCAGGCTCTTTGGCCGTGTTCTGAAGGTTGTTCTTCCTAATGTTTCGCCAGTCTCTGTGGCCGGCATCTTCCGAGGACAGCACATGAATGCTGTCCTCAGAAGATGCTGGCCACAGAGACTGGCAAAATGTCAGGAAGAACAACCTTTACAACACCTCCAAAGAGCCCGAAAAACCCACAACAACCATCTCCCTTCTGTTTCTGCCGGACTCCACCGTTCAAAGCACCAGCTCCTTCCCACAGTAAACAGGATTACAGTATAGGCTACATAGCTAATCATATTAATAATGGCCAAAATAATCATATTTTGAAGGCCATCTCTTATCTGGCCTTCAAAATAATTATATCTCTTATACAGGAGTCAGGCACTAGTTAATCACTACAGAGGACAACAAGAAGTAAAGGATGGGCTCAATGTGTCACAGTAAAGCCTTGGACTTTCCATGCACTCTTTTGCTCCACCCCAGGAGTGCCACAAAGGACTGCTATCTTTATCATCTGTGCAATTTTCCCAAAAATTAGCCATCATAGCCATGGCTTAGCAAGAGTTGTTATTTGACCAACATACTAGGCCTAAGGCTCTGTCAGAACCCATCTGAGTACTCCAAATATAACACAAATAAATCTAAATAAATCTTATGCCAGCTGAGGCACCTTTAATCTCTATAGAACAGGAAACCACAGAAGTTCATGTCCAAGCAATTTAGGTGTTTTATCGTATTTGCGAAGGCTTTCATGGGTGGGATCTAATGGTTGTTGTGGGTTTTTCGGGCTCTTTGGCCGTGTTCTTCAGAACACGGCCAAAGAGCCCAGAAAACCCACAACAACTATTAGGTGTTTTATCCCTTATCTTGACTTGGACCCGAAATGTACTAGTGTACAAGTGGAAGGCATATCCATTTTTGCTAGAGAGTCTCCAAATGTCATTTGTTTTCCTTTTCTTGCTACAACTCCACCCCCAACATCACCCCTGCCCCTATTCCGTTGCAGATAGACTCCTTCCAACTCTCAGGAATACTTTTTTTAAAGTTTGGAGGGACCCAGGCATGCACTTTTCCATGACAAGGGTTCTAGTCTGTTGTTTAAGAGAATCCTAATATCATGATTCTTTTACAGTTGTTTTTAGACATGTGTTAGACTTTACCATAAAGCAACAACAAAAATCTTGTAGGTTAACTATTGTCAAGATCATGTCCCTGAAAAGTATGATGTGTATCCTCATGGCAAGTTACCATGTTAGTAAGATTAAGGCACAAACTCACATGCACATATGTCTGTGTGTGTATTATTCCACAGTAATAGTTATACTAACAGCATTAATCTAAGATGTAGGATGGCTTCAAAAGAATTGCATAGTGTGTGAATTCTTACACTTTATTTAAAAAAGTAAAATATACCAAACAAGTAGAAATAATGTATGAATCCACTACAAACTTTAAAACACAGACTGCAGGGCAGTTTACATTTATATCCCAAGTCTTTGCATATGAAAACATTTCTGACATGTCAATTTAAAATGGATATTCAAGCCATCTGTCTAGGAAGCCATAAGTTACAACATCAGCAGATCTCATACTTTCCAATAGCTCTCCAGAGTAGTTCTTGCTACTTTACCTAAGGATTTTTGTCCACAGACCTTCTGGTATTTATTAGCCTACCACCAACCTGTCAACATTATGCTTAATTTCTTTACATTTGCCACCATCTGGGATTTGTATAGGGAACAATGAGTACTGATATAACCTTTCATTTTCAAAATGCATATTTGTATGTGTACTTACGGACAAGCAAGCATATTAGAAAATATTGTTCTGATACTATGTTAGGAAGCCATGCTGAATGGGAATAGAGAATGCAGAAAAAGAGAGGTCATGTGGCAAGTGTATAGTGTAGAAGAAATATTTGAAGCAACTTGTGTAGAAGACATTTATCATCTCCATAGACGTCTTACAGATTCTTTGGACAATAGGGATTTTGCAAAAAAAAAATAAAAAAAATCATAGCAGCTAACTGGAGCACTGTAAGAAAGCCTGTCCAAGCATAACCCTTCATCATCTTCAGCTAAGCTGGCAGAAATTCTTCCCAGTAAAATTATTTTACATGATATAACCTTATTTATATATGAATACCCCGGTTGATTCTACAAAATAAATAAATAAATAAGTTGTATGTGTGTATATATCCATGCACATACATGTTGCCATTTCCACATTTGCCAATAGTCATGCAGTTACAATTGAACAATTAAGCTATGCACAGGGAAGATATGAAGAGGGTAGATTGTGCAGAGATAGAACCTACGGAGGACAATACAGCTGCAATGATGATTTTGTCAAAATTAGGTTAAAAACAAAATAGTGTTTCCACATTATGAACTGATACATTGCCACTATCTAAAAAAGGCATGTGAAAACATGAAGGCTTTTACAGTATAGTAAGAAAACGTGAAATGGAAACCGTGTTGTCATGGTGATTCTCCAATCATTATATACTTCACTATTTTTTAAAGCTCCAAATCAGATTTTTATTGCCATAACACAAGTGAGCCATACATTGTCCCAATGTTCTTTTTAAAATAGCACTATTTGCAAATCAAATAATTCTAGTTCATGCATTAAAAAAACATAAAGGTATATAATTTTATAAAAAGTTACTGGCACAACAATTTGTTCTAAGGAAAGGTTGTAATACAATAATCTAAGTAATCTAATATAATTTTATACATGAGGAAAACACAATTTACACTGCTCTGCCACTTTCACATCTAATTAAAAGATACGTCGAAACTGATTAGGTGTTTGAAGAAAAGCCTCAAGCCATATATACATTTAAAGGGATGATAAAGTTAATCCAGATTATTAAAGCAAGAAAAACAGCCAAAAAGAAAAAGAAAGAAAAAAGGCATAGCATCAAATACTGTTGTGTGCACACAAAATCTGAAAAAGCAAATACAACTGAAGGAACCTTTTCTTTCTTTTTTTATAAAAAAAGGCAAGAACAACAGATTCATAACTCAAAGGAACCTGACATCTGTTAAGACACCATTTTCTAAACTATTCCTGGATATACTTTATAGAATTTACAAGAGAAAAAGAGAGAGATTTGCCATAGATCACAGCATGAAAGCTTACCCGCAATTTACCAGCAAAGCCTAGCCAGCCATCTGCCCATTTTTTTTTCCTTGAAGTGAATTCAGGGAATTGCCCTGTTGACTTCACAAAACGATCATTCTGATAACACCTACCCACAAAGTTAATCAATTAATTAAGATTGCTTTTACTTAGTAAAGCAGCATGCTGACAGTAGGTCATATGAAGGTTGCTTCTTGCTTCCCTCATGAGGGTCTCTTAAAAAAAAATAACACTGTCCTCCAGTTCCATGTACCAGTTATTTTGATATTCATTCAGGAGCTGCAGAAATATACGGAGCCCTTCACAATGCCAGCTTGCATGATGAAAGAGCAAAAGTAGTTTTCAGGCTGCAGAATGCCTTAAAAGGGTTACCATGGAAATAAATGTGCAAAAGGGAGGGGGTTCCTTCAATGACAAATACTGCCTCTGAACAGGGACAAGCTTTGAAGGAAGGCTGAATGGGGACTGTGGAAGAGGGAAAGAAAATGTATTTTACTATTACTGCTAGGATCACTGCTCCACTTTGAAGCTAAATTACTAATTTTAATAATGCATATAGACATGACACAGAAACACAGAAGGAAGGGCTTTAAAGCAGCAGTTACTATCTTACACCGTCAAAAACTGGGACATCTGAAAAGTGCTTTATTTGCATTTCCACAGAGAAGTCTTTGTGCAAGTTATATTTTCAAAGGAGAGTGTTGTAAGGAAGACACTTTTGCAGAATTGGACAGAAACACTTAGGATGAATTAAAATCAACCTCCCTAAGTAAAAAAAATGGGTTTTAATTGTGAACTGATGTTCCTGCTAGCTGCAAAGGCAGACTGGAAGTCTTCTTTTATAAATAAGAAATCAATGAATGCTGTGCAGTCAGCAGCCCACAAAAGGAATATAAAGCAAACAAAAAATAAATAAAAAAAACCCCACACACCCAGGTTTGGAAGTAAGCTGCACAGCTCACACCACAGATGGCTTCTAATGCTGCAGGGAGATTTTGCTCAAAATCATTAGCCCATACTGGATCTAGTGAGTATTCCCATTAAAAGCCAGCTGAAACTATTCATGTTGCATTGAAAACTCTGCATTCACAATCTTCAATTCCTTGTTTAAAGAAAAACAAACAAACAAACTGGTTCTTGTGATTTTCAAGCATTGAATAAACATGTGAAAATAGGGCATAAGTAGAAAATGTAGTGGAAAATGTAGCACTCATAAATTCTTAAGTCTCTAGATGGGTTAAACATTCAGGTCATAATTTTATAAGATAACACATTAGAAGAAATATGGATATGTACTCTTGTCACTAAAATATCTACCTGTGTACAAAGCACCCGATATCATCCACAGAAGCTACTGTATATGTAAGCAGAAAAGTGAGTTCTGAGGGAACCCATCTAGCTGTTTCTGCTGCCTAGAACTAAGGAAGATACTACATAAGGAAGGCTCACAGTGTTCCACACATGAATGAGGCGAGGCAAAGGGCATCTCCTAGATTGCATGCAGCTTCCCAATGGGACCAGATGTGGCCCCCTTGAATCACCAAGGTCCCCCTTTGCTGAGAAACTCTCTGTGTGCTCTTTCCAGCATGTGGTGGGGCACTGCCATATTTTCGGTCTACCATCCTCCCAAGGATTTTTTTTTAATCACACTAGGTGATTCAGTGGCATTACTTGGAACAATGGTTCCCAACCTTAGGTCCCCAGATGTTCTTGGACTAAAATTCCCTGAGGCCTTTACTGCTAGCTGTGTTGGCCCGAATTTCTGCACATTGTAGTCCAAGAACATCTGGGGAGCCAAGGTTGGGAATCACTGACCTAGAGGATTTGAGTGAAAATACTCTGGAAGGGGGGGAAAGCACAGGAGTGGACCTCTAAGGTCTAGAGCTGCACTATTATGGCCTAAAGTTCCCTATCCAATTTAAGGCCTTGGAATTTTATAATAAAACACAATGCTACCTTTTGCCAAGTCAGGCCATTTCAATCTTTGTATTTATGTATTGGTTATTTTAAAATCAATGGGTGTAATCCTATTGGAATAGCTCTGCACACTCAAAGCACATGATGTCATCAATTGCAACCTTTAATCACTGGTCAAAAGTTTCTAACGCCCCTCACCCAGATTCTGAGGCTCCCTAGGGATTCCCTTCATCTTGGAGAAGTCCTTGGGGGTCAAGGGATGGAGTCTTTACTATCCAAAAGTTGCTACCATGAGTTCCACTGAAGGATTTTCTTCTTTGGATATTAAAGGCTCCCCCCTCCTTTCCAAAGCCTCAGAAGTCTTCTCCGGGACAAAAGGGATCCCTAGGGAGCCTTCCAACCTGATGGGGGAGGAATCCTAAACTTTTAATTAGCAATAAGAGGCCAAATCTGATGGCAGCCTCAGCCTTCTGCAGAGTTGCACCAAAAGGATTTCAGCCACTATCTCATCTTTCAAAAACTGCAATGACTGGGTTTCCAAATGAATCATTGTTCCAATCATGATAATATTATATTGAGAAAGAGAGTGTGCATCCAAAAATTCTCAAAACAACAATCATAAGAAGCTATATTTAGCCTTCCTTTGGGAGAAGCTTGAATATTATTTCTTCCACACAAGCTCTATGGAAAAGCGCCTACATGATGTGATTGTATTCCACACTGAAGATGAAGTGATTTAAAAAGCTTCAAGTTATCTTGAAAGCTACAAAGCAGGGTGGATTTGATTTAAATCACTGTTTAATTTTTTTTAAAATAGGAAATAATTCATTATTTAAATAAAAATAATTTTTATTTAAATTAATTTGATTTTTTAAAAATCATTAATTTTTATCTACTTGCTATAAAGTCAGTGTCTCCTAAGAAATGAGACATGGACATGCACCAATGCAAAATGGCAGGGGAGGCTTTTCAATATGACCTTTTTCTTCTGGAATGAGGCCAGAAGGACCAACTTTTTTCCTCTGACTTCCTCTTCCTCTCCTTCTCTTTCTGTGTCATCATGGATGTCAACCTCAGGTATAGCAACTCCAAACAATGATGATGTATTACATCCAAACCACTCTCCAACATTTTTTCAGCTAACCTGTACATTTTATGTGTTTTATTCTTTCTTTGCCTTCATTGATCCAATTTGGTACAGTACTTCTTCACTGGTTACCTTCTGTATCTATGAAATACAAAACAACCTAAATACTTCCCCAACTGTTTGCCTCTTCCAAAGACCAAGCAAAATAATAAAACTCTGTACCATGCCTGTCTAACATTAAACTAGGTGGAGCAGGTGTGTCTTAGTCGTCTATCAGCCTGCATTACCCCAGGGAGGAACCTCTTCCCATTGCCTTAGACATTACTTACATAGGCATATTCGTATCAATAACATCCTATGGGACTGAACGAAAGATTGATTATTTCACAGAATGGCTACTGAAATCAAGTGCCATTACTACTTTAAAGCTGTAACACCACAACGCATTACGTGGCAGGCATTACGGCAAAACCTACAGTAGTCTCTCAGAGAGCTGGAGACAGTATTTCAAAGCTGACTGTGTCCACAGAGCACATTCTGGGGTTGAATGCCCTGCAACTGTTCTTGGGCAAACTGATCTTGTAGACTGCTGAAGCATTCCCACTGATGCCTCGACAAAGCTGAGATTAGCCCACAGCTGCATGGCTAGCCATGCTGTACTTTTGGTGTGACCGTCTCAAGATGATTAATGTTTTCCCCTTTTTCCCTTCCTCGACCCCAAAAAAATGCCCAGAGCAAATGCTTCAAAATTCTTCACTCTGGTTTTAAATCAAGCAAAGGGGTGAGCAAGCCTCTACCTACTTAAGCACAGAGTCTTGGAAAAGGAGAGAAGCACAGCAGTGCCTCCTTCTCAGTCTCCTTCATGTCCTGCCACTGCAGAGTTTCTAAAGGATTCTTGAGAGAAACAGATTATATGGAATTCACGTAGTCCATTTTACCATTATGATTAATTATATGGATGAAGTTGAGAATTAAAACAGTAATTACATTCCAGAGCTGGACCAAATCTATTTACATTTTTGTACAAACAGTTTCTGCAGTAAATGCTTGAGCTTTCCCAATCTTTTTTTTCCTTTTCCTTTTTTGTCTTATCTTTTTCTTTCCTCTTCTTTCTTTCTTTTTTTCTCAACCATGCACAGATTAGCGGGTTGAAAAGCAGGATGAAGTGCTCAGCCCCACTTCTTGTTTTGGACGCTATTCAGTAGGAACATATAACAAAAGGTAGATTCCTTTATATGTGAATGTTGGGCTTCCAGTCAAATGACTAGCTCGCTCTCAAAAACTGAGGTTGAATTCCACAGAAAGCACAATAGAGCCATGTTGTGATGGTTCCAATCCTTCTTGGAAGTTTGGTTTTAGAAAATAGTAAAAGGAGTCTACTGATCTATCCCAAGGACAGTATGAAACTCTTACTTCTTCAGATGGCCTGGGGAGGGATAAAGACTTGTAAACTGAAAATTATCCTGACAAGGTGAGGCAAAGAAGCCAGCCAATCTGGACTAGAGGATACAATCAAGCTTGCTAGGACTAGGATTGCAGCTTCATTGTAAACTTGGAGCCATCTGTCAAAATGCAGGTGGTGTTGGGGCCTAGGGATGCCTTTTACCAGGTTCGGTGGGTACACTGGTTGCGATCACATCTTTAAAAAAAGAAAACAGAACTTACCATGGGTACTATGAAGTCCAGATGTGAGCAAAGTGAAGCCTTCCAGATGTTGTTGGACAACAACTCTTGTCAGCCCTAGTAGTGAGGAATGCTGGGATTATCTGAGGGGCCATACTTTCTCCACCCCTGTTCCAGTCAGATTACTGTGGGTCGAAATCTCAGGAGATCCAGAATGCAGCTGCCCAGTTGCTCGTGGGCACTAGGCAATCAGAACACAGAAAACTAAATCCATATCAGTTACAGTGGCTACTGATTCATTTCAGTCTTAGCAGATAAAGCCCTAAAACATGTGAGACCATATTAGTCAATGGACTGTCTGCCTGAAGCTGCCCGGGCATTAAAAACCAATCTCAGAGACCTGCTCATGAGGCCATCTGCCAATTTTGCAGCAGGCAAAGGAAAAAAGGCTTTCCATTACTATCCTCTGGATCGCTATTATTTCTGATGGGTGGCTGCCATCAGTCCCACAGAACATTTAAGCCCTCTTTTGGGGTTTCTTTCTATAGAAAAAGACAAATGTGAGAAGGAAGAGCATGTTGTCCCCATCCATCTCCGTCAC